TAAGATACCAGATAAATCAGTGCCTGATTCTCATCCCACCTAGTAAATTCATGGCTGAAAAAGTTGGTATTACAACACCGAAGAAACTGGTCTATTTTCAAGGAATACAGTAGTTCCAGAATGGCATTTGAAAATCTGCCCACACAAATTGGCTCCCACACTTATTATACCATATACATTTCCAGACTGTTTGGATTTTCAGGAAACATTCAGAGAAGGCCAGCTCCTAGTTTCAGTTTCATTGGTCATACCTGTGTGGTCATACAATATTTCTGAACTCCTTTTCCAGAATGTTTAATAGAGTAGGTTATGTGTACTGTTCTACTTCATAAACTAAACAACCCTAGATATTAAATTATAGTAAATAGATGGGTCTGAAAAAGAAAACATTATTTTGGAAATGTTTTAAGGGTATCTAACATGTGGGAACATGTATTCAGGTACCTCCTATGTCTGTATTTAATCAGAAGATCATCCTAGGCCAAGAAGTGCTCTGTGTTTGGGTAGCTACAAAGTTATCCTTCAGAGGGAATGCTAGGCATGTCCTTGTAGCTATTCACCTAAGGTTAATGCTTAATGGGTATTAATAGTCTAACATGGAAGGAGACCTCAGTAGTTTCTTAGGCAAGAAGTACCTGGTGATTGCTTGATAGATGTGTCTCTGAGGTGGTCTAGTTATAAGTAGATGGGTTAAAAGTTTTGATCTTGTGACCTGGTTTGTATCAGGAAAACAACACTGTGGTTAGTTCAAGACACCAAAAACAAATTATAATCATCTGAATTGGCTTAATCAAGGTTGGCAAGGTTATTTGGGGATTTTTCATTTTGCTAATCCATTTTAGCTGTGTAGACAATAGGACTTTGTACAGCAATCCCTCCTCTCCTCCCCCCTCTCTCCAGCAGCCCATAGATCAACCAGTGCTTTAGAAATGCTTAGACTCTGCAAGTGACTCATCCAAAAACTATGGCCTAATGGAGGAAAAGACTTTAGAAATGGGTCTCCTAAAAATCCAAGGGATTATACCTAAAGTAGAAAATTCTAATGTATATAACCAAATCGACATCATCAATGTGGTGGGCAGGGTAAACAAGCTTATAGTCAAAGAGAGACTGCAACCTTAGAACTGAGTTGTAATGTCTAGTTGATCACACACAATGAAATGAAACAAAGGTCATTTCAGACAAAAGTTCAGAGTAACTAGGGAAGTTACAGAATCATAGGCTGTCAGAGCTTATAGATAAGGAAAGTGAGGTCCATAGAGTTTAAGAGACTTACCCAAGGTCACATAGCTAGTGAATGAGTGTCAGAGTTGGAAATAAACCAAGGTTTTCTGATTTTCAGTGTAATCCTCTAGTGCTTAAACATTTGAATAAACGTTTCCATTATTTTTACATAGGAAGGAAATACATACAGATTGTACTTTTGTTATGCATAGTAATCTAGGAACATAGATGTAATAGGATTTTAAAGCTGAAAATGCTACTAACTCCAAGAAGTTCAATGAATAGAGTGTGACAGCACAAAGTACTGTGGGATGATGGGAGGTAGAAGTCTGGGCATGAATGGAGCACAACCCAATTATATAACACAGAAGGGCATTTAAAATTGATTTATCACATTGTCAAGCTATATTTACTCTATTTTCAATACAGTGTTTATAGAAAGAGGAGGAGATTCTGGGACAAGAAAAAAACAGAAAAATATTGTTTTAAAAGTATATCACAATTCTATAGCTTCCAGTAAAACTGTACTACTTACAAAGATGTGTTGGACCAGGCTATTTCATTCATGTTATGCAAAAACTGAACTCAAAGTCCATGATGTTTGAGAAGCATTCCTTTTAAAATTCAACTTCATGTCTCAAGTAACTGGATTTCTGTATTCCTTGTTCCACCATTAAGACTGTATATGTCTAACAAAATACATACATTTAATTGTATATAAAATGTTATTCATATGGGCATCTTCTTTATTTAGCTTTAAGGGTCCTTAATGGCAGAGCCTGTATCTCAATTTTAAAATTTTTTTGTAATTCAAATCTCACAATCTATTATTGGCCCACCGGCACGATTAATTCAACTGAAAACCTCAAGAGTGCCCCTTATCCCATGTACCTCTTTGTCTCTTTTTGGGATCTCATTTATTTATTAATTTAACATCCACAGAAATCTTACACTAATGCCTCATTGTGGCATGGAGGTGACCCTGGGCTCTCCAAGGTTATGCTGGTAGGCATATGATTTTGACCTTTGCTGGAAAAACTTCAAATACAGCCAGTGACATAGTGTGCTTGTCATTGGAGGACCAGACTAATTCAGGGATGCCACAGAGTAATGAATTCTTCTGTCCCAGCAACTTGGTTAAGACTGATGACTAAAGTAGGATTGTGATCCACATGGGTTCAGGGAGTCATGATGCCAAGGAAAATTATGGATCTTAAAGAACTAAAGTGTTAATTGAAGTACTGACCGTATAACATTGTACTAGTGAATGTCAAAACTCAGTCTTTGCCTGTGAGGGACATATAAGCACATACATCATTACACAGGTCTGAAAATGTCACTAAAAATTTCTACTATTGACCCTTGAGGGTCATCGGTAAATTATATCTCTAATATTTCATTTCTTGACATAAAGATTAAATGGTCTTGTTCTGGGTTCTTAACCCTTTAAAAATTCATGGAAAAACTCATTCAGATAAACCAAAACCAAACAAACCTTATTTGGCCTCAGAAACAAAAGTGTTGGTAAGAAAAATTTATCACTGGCCTCAAGAAATAGTTATGTTCCTGAAGACAGATAACAGAGGATTAGATTAAGAAAACAAATCACAATGTAGTGGTACAATATACTAATTTGAAGATAGATGAATGAAATGAGCCATTTGCAAGTTATTTTCATGCTATATATCCAGTTTGTCCAACAACATTTTGTATATCTTCCCAGAATCTCAGTAGGAAAGTACCCAGGACCTTCAAGTAAGACTGAAGATTGGAGGAAAAAGAAATTCTATAAACCTTGCTAGGTTGTCTCCTTACATAAAACGTAATCTCCTTGAAGCCAGGGACCTTTTTTTTATTTGTCTTTGTTTTTGTGTCACCAGGCCCTAGTACCTAAGCAGGTGTTTAATAAATGCTTATTGATTGTGATAGATTACAAGGATCCTAAATTTTCTTCTTGGCCTCTCCAAGTTTAGTTTTGCCTATGGGGCCCAAACAATAATTCTAATTTCTTTTCCATTTGATTGCCTTTTCAAATAGCTGAAGACTGCAATTAAATTGCACCCCAGTCTTTTCTTCTCGTGGACTGAGGGATTGGGACTGGACCAGTGATTTCTTTGGTATAGGAAATTTTGGGATTAGGAAATTTCCTAAACTGATAGCAGGTCCTCTTTACTGTATAGTTTTAGAGTTGTCAAAGGCACTAAGAGGCTGTGACTTGTCCAGGGTCCAAAGGAGGTACTTTAAACTTAGTTGAGAGAGAGAGCGAGAGCGAGAGCGAGAGAGAGAAAGAGATGGAGTGCCTATGTGTGTTCATTCAATAAACATTTATTTAATGTCTACTGTGCACAAGCACAGTATATGTCAGATGTGCCCTGAACACACAAAAGGGGTGTAGTTCTAAACTGACGTGTGTAAGGTATATACTTCTAAACCGACATACAAAATGTATGTATTTCTGGGCACAGAATGTCAGTTTTCATGGACCTTCCACAAAAAGCCAAATGATAGACTTGCAATGCTCTAAACCAGATGATTGTGCGGTAGCTCTTGCTAGTACAAGCCTTGAACCTACTTGTAAAGTCACTGGAGGTGGGGAAAGGGGAAGTCTTGCAAATACTTTTTTAAGTGAAAAGGGAAAGCAAGTTTAACTCCAAGATCGGCGGATTCCCAGAAGAAAGAGCATCCAACTCTCCTTGCCCCCTTAAAAACAAACCCTTAGGGTCCTGTTTCGCTGCAGCTAAAGGTAGTGGAACCATGGCGGGGGGGGGGAGCAGGGGGGGGGGGGGGAAGAAGAATCAAATTTGGGTGTGGTTTCCCTTTAGCTTTAACAGTTACCGATCTTTTTGTTGTTGTTGTTGTGGTTTGTTTGTTTGTCTTTTTAGGTGAGCAGGAATGGGGAGGGGGTGTTGAGCTAAGTGAACAAAAGCCAGTATAAAGATGGCTAAAGGGCAGGGCCTTGGGCTCCTCTTTGGGAGGACTTAGGAGTGGGAGACGGGGGTCGTGGAGTGGTCCCCAAAACAAAGCCCCTCCGCCTCGCAAGAACGCATCTGCAGTGCTTGGTGAGGGAGCCCCAGGGTGGGGTGATGGGCGGATACCTCTGACAGGCCTTGGGTGGGGGAGGGGGGACAGAAGCACTCGCTTCTCTTTTCATGCGGGACTGTTGGGCCGAAGCGGGGAGGGCTCTGTTGTCTACGTGAGTCTGTGTGGGGAGCAACGGTCACCGAGGCAGCAGAGACACTAACCGCCACCTGTGGTGACCCGAAGCTCGGGCTGCCCAGACTGAGCCACGGATTTCTGCGCCTGCGCACTCTTCTCCACCACCCCTCCCGCCGCGCGCTCTCCCAGCTCCCTCCTCTCGGGGCCGCGCCTTCCTCTCCAGGGCCGCCGCCGCCGCAGTGTGTGGTATTTAGCGGGAACGCGCGGCAGGCTCGAGCACGAGCGAAGCGGCGGCGGCGGTTGCAGGGCGCGCTCTCGAGAGCTGGTGGTAGCAGCAGCAGCAGCAGCGTGTCCCATCGGGCGGCGCCGCGGCCTCTGTGAGAGGGGGAGGCGCGGCGGCGGCGGCGGCGGCGGCGGTGGCGGTGGCGGGGGCTGGAGGCAGCGGCGGTGAGGTGGAGGAGGAGGAGGAAGAAACGGAGGAAGCCGCACGTTTGAGACGGAGCGACAAACGGGGCCCCGGTCGCGCTCTCCGCCCACCGGTAAGTGCGGCCCAGCCTGAGGGAGGAGCCGGGGGAGCCGGGCCGGGGGGTGCTCGGTGGGGGGGGAAGGTGGCGCCGCGCGGGGCTCGAGGTCCGGCTAATGGCGGCGGCCGGCTCTTCAGAGGAGAAACCGCCGCTTCGCCGCGAAGGGAGGGAGGAAGGAAGAAGGAAGGGAGGGCAGGCCCTGCCCGGCGCGGCGCAGCCGCCCCCGCGGACAGTCAGCGGCCCCTGGCCCGCCTTTGTCTCCGGCCTCGGAGGGGGAGCGAGCCTGGGCCTCGCGGCCCAGTCGAGGCCGGCCCTGCCCCGCCCCCGGGGTCGGGTTTCCCTGGCGGTCCGGGGCCTTTCCTTGGCGCCTGGCACCCGAATGGGCCTGGGGCTGGAGTTGGGGAGGGGGCCTGGCCCCGAGAGCTCCGGCGGCCCCGAGCGAAGTGGGACAGAGAAAGGCTTTCCTTCGGCCCGGACGCCTAGGGAGGCGGGCCTCGGCGGAGGGGGAGGTGCCGGCCGGCCTCTGCTTGGCTCCCTCGTGCGGGGCTTTGTTGTGATGGGGCCGGTGTTTGCGGCCAACATGGCGGAGGTCAGCTGAGTCTTGTACCGTGAGCCACTGAGCCGTCCCTTCCCTCCCCCTACCTGGCAGCCTCCCGTCGTCCCCACCACTTCCCTTATTCTGGGGTTGTGGTCGTCATCCTCCCTTCTTCCAGACGTCCCAAACATCCGTCCCTGTAATATGGGATGTTAGTTCCTTTTCTCAAGCCTGAGCCTTGTATTGTGCAGTGCAGAGAATTCAGTCTCTATTCCAGAAAAGATCCTATGAATGAATAGGTTGCTGAACGAGAAAGATATGGGCTTTGAGTTTAAAGTCCAAGATAACCCTGTTCTCTAATCTTCTCTAGGCTAGAAGTTTAGGAGAGTTGGCGGAAGGCATAATTATTTTATTTATCCAGGGCCATAATCTGAACATCCTAATCTCTCAGTTGTTAGCATGTGCTTCCTTAGGGCCACCTGGATGTTTTAATTGTCCTTCCTTCCCACCCTCCAGTGATTGGAAGGATATTTAGCATTGATTAGACTTATTTTAAGAGTAATTTTGTGTTTTGAAAGTTGAATTGTGTTTGGCACATGGTGTATTGATGAACAAGGATTGTATCGGTCTTATTTCTTAGTTGAGCAAACTTTTCCTTGATAAGCAACTGTAAGTGTGTGTGTGTTCACTGCTTAATACATTGTAAGTGCATAGGTAGAATCTGTAAATCAACATTTTAAAAGATTTCATTGGGTAGCCTATTAGGAAGTGAGGTAACCTTGTTGGAGGTGGAGAAGCTAGGACACTTATGGGGGGTGTGGTGATGTTGATATTTAACAATTTATTTTATATTGTGATTTTAAAATTATTTAAATAGACTCAAGTAACTAAATATTGTAGGTGAACCTTGGAGAAGGTAGGACGCTGTGTTACAAGGGTGTGTGGTGATGATACCTGACAATTTATTACGTTGTGATTTTAAAATTATTTAAGTAGACTCGACCAATTAAATATTGTAGGTGAAAGTCCATTTGCCTCAAATTAAGAATTACTTTACAACTTTTGGATCAACTAATAAGCGAAGTAGTGAAATGACATAATGTAGTATTGTGAAAATGTGGGAGCCTTGTTTTTGTAATAAAAGGAAGGAAGTAGGCTTAAGTTGTAGTAAAAGGATTTTGGTTAGATGTTAGAAAAAATTGTGATCCTAGGAGTTACAGGATGGAAAAATTTCTTACCAAAGCTTGCTGTGGAATTTCATTTTCTGGGAATTTGAAAAATGGGATTATGCAGAACAGCTGTTTGGCAAATGAAAGATGGATTACATTGGGAAAGGGGTCTTTTCTATGTTTATGGTTGGTAAATTTGCTTTCAAGAGTTCATTGTTGAATGAACAAAAAAGTGAACGTTTTTAAGAATCTACTGTGTGCAGAGCATTCTGTAGCTAACAGCCTGAAGGATGGTATAAATACAGCTATAATAGATAGTATTTATATAGTGATTTAAGGTTTGCAAAATGCTTTACAGGTAGTTCATTTTATCCTCACAAACCCAGGAGGTGTGTGCTATTATATAATAATATAATACCATGTCTTACATTTAAGGGCAAGTGCAATATGAAAACAATATTGGTTTAAAGAACATAGTGAATTTATATATATATATATATATATGTGAATATTTTATATATGTGTATATAAGTATATATATGCAATTTTTTTTGGTCTGGATCTGCAATTTTATCTATGTAGTGAGCTATTGATGAGTTCAAGTTTACCACTGTTGTGCAATTTATAGTTAGAGAGAGTTGCCTAGGGACTTGAAGTTGTAACTTGTCCGGAAAAACACAACCAGTGCCAGAAGATGGACCTTAATCCAGGTGGTCCTTGTCCAAGGTTGAGGGTAGACTGGCTCTCTATTACCTCTGTTATCCTGCCCACCTTTTACAGGAAGCCTTTCCCTCTCATTTTTAATTCTAGTGCCCCTCTATTGTGATTATTTAAAATTTAGCCTATTTATAGCTTGATTGCACATAATTGTTTACAAGTTGTGTCTCCCATTAGGCTGTAAGCCCTTTGAGAGCAGGGACTGCCTTTTACCTTTCTTTATTTCCCCAGCAGGCTTAGCACAGTGCCTAGCATATAAAGTAGGTACTTAATATGTGTTTATTGACTGACATTGGAATAATAGCTATTCCCAAAGGGAAAGAACAGGAACTGTGCTACAGACTTTACAATTTGAACCTCACAACAAATCTGGGGGGTGAGTACTATTATTATCCTCATTTTACATTTGAGGAAACTGAGGTGGACAGGTCAGTTTACACAGTTTGCACAGCTAGTAAGTCTGAATCTGATTTGAACTCAGGTCTTCTGGACTCTGTCTACCATGCCATCCAGCTGCCAATGTAATGAAGTGATTATATTTTGGTAGAGAACATGTACGCATTTCATTTTATTTTTATCTGTTCATTAGATCACTTTCCAGAAGCATTGATAAGTCTAGTGCAAAAGCTATATTAGTTAATAAATAAATGTAAGCAAGTTCTTAGGTTAGGAGTTGCTCAAGTTATCAGGGAATGTGTACTAAAATGTACTGTGCTTGTAGCAGCATTGATTGTGTATTAAGAATAAGATTAGAGAGCCTCAGAGTTGGAAGGGACATCATAGATATCTAATCTAACCTGTCTCTGAATAGGAGTTCTTCGACATCCTTGACTAGTGGTCATCCTGTCTTTGCTTAAACTCTTTAGTGAAGGAGCACCTATTTTTTGTTTGTTTGTTTTAAGAATCATTCTTGCAAATGGTATTGTGATAACACAAGATGTACCTGTGCAGGAGCAATAAGTAAGTTAATAACTTTATATATGTTATCATTCAAAGGTGGTGGTAGGATGATTAATATTTTCAAGTAATTTTTTGGATTTTGATTCGATGTTTTTTCCTAAGGTTTGAATTAGTCTGCATTATACAGAGACAATATATATTATAAAATTAAGGTTTTGTTTCGTCGTTAAGTTTATTCATTTTTCACATCTATAGTGCTGCCTGTATAATGATATGTGTTCTCATTTAATCAAATACAGTTCATATTTTTATGGACTTACTATGAAAGCTAAATTACAGTTTTCATTACAAAAGCATTCCTTGACAGCATTTCTTGGATTCGTTAAAGCCATTTAAAATAGGATTTGGTGTCATACAACTTCTTAGGAAGACTATTGTGAAGAGGAACAAAATATTTCCTGCCCTAAAGGAGCTTGCATTCCAAAACAAAGAATTCGATTAATTTATGAGTGTAGCATGTACAAATATTTTGGTAGTGGAAGTTGTTACTTATGTTCTTCTTAAAAAATCTTTTTTATATTTAGTATTCCAGGAATAAGATGAGACAGTGCATAAATTTATAAGTTGTTACTGTTTATTTCTTTCTATGATGATTATGCATTCTATAATATAGGCAGTTATATCAAGATGTAGTTTCCCCCTCCCCTTCAGAAACTTTTAACAAATTGGAATGGAGAGTAGGGCAGGCAACATGAAAGTAAGTTGTAGCAACTTAATTTATTGGATTTTTCCTAATTAAAAAGTTATAATACATTTTTCTTAATGTAACTTACAAAGTTAAGCTCACCAGATTTAAGTTACAGACAGGGAATATATCGTTGAATGTATTTTAAAATACAATCAGGAAGTTTCACCTACTAAGTGTGGGACCATGGACAAGTCATTTAAGTTCTCTGAGTTTGTTTTCTTCTCTGTAAAATAAGGGAGTAGATTTAAATGGTCTCTAAGTTCCCTTATAGGTTTAAATAAATGATCCTGTGATCTTAAATAGAATGTTAGGGAGAAGTTCTCTGGTGAGTGATTCTGAAATCTTATTAAACCACTTTTTGACTGAAGTTTAGTTCTTTTTAAATAAGTTTCATCGTATTATTACTTCTTAATTTGTCCTTTGAAACATGAATATTCACAACTCCTTAACTGCTCTATAAACTTTCAGAAGTTGTAACCTGAATCAGATAATCAAGGAAGTCCATTGGGGTGAAATTACTCTTGGGACTGTAGTTACAGTGATTAGAGCAGTGTTAATTCTGGGGCAGGGTCCAAGTGAAGATTGGAAGTTTCCCCATTGCTTTATTATATAATATTAACATCGATTTTTAAAAATAATACCTATTTTACGCCATCAATTATATCCCTAATATCCCTTTCCCAGTAACCCTTCTTTGTAACCAAGAATAAAAAAAAGCAAAATTGACCAATTTGGCAATAGTGTATGCCACATTCTCTATCCATAATCCTCCAACTTCTAGGGAGAGAAGGAATACGTTTTATCTTGTGAGAATAAAGACTGTTACAGGTAATCTCAATTTAGTTGCCTTTTTAGTGCTTTCATTTACATATTCATGTTAGTCAAACATTTATTAAACACATTACTAAATGCCAGGCGTTGTACTAAGCTCCAGAAAGACAAAGAAAGGCAAAAAGTAGTCTCTGCTCTTAAGAAGCTCACCATCTAATGGGGGAGACAACTATATACAAATTAACACACACACACACACACACACACACACACACACACACACGTGCGCGCTCTCTCTCTCTCTCTCTCTCTCTCTCTCTCTCTCTTTCTCTCTTTCTCTCTCTCTCTGGATAAGTTGGGGTGCTGGACCCACTGCTGTGCTGTTCCTCACACTCCCATCTCCTGACCCCAAGCATTTTCACTGACTGTCCCCTGGCCCCCAAGTTCTTATTTCCTTTCTTCAGGTCCCAGCTAAAATCTTACCTATAGGAAGCCTTTCTCAGTCCTCTTAATGCCTTTCCTTTAAGATTACATTTCTGATTTGTCCTGGTACTTAGAATAGCATCTTTTTTTTTTAAATAATATTTTATTTTTTTGGATTACATGTAAAGACAAATTTAAGTGTTCATTAAATTTTTTTTTCTTCTTCCCCTATCCCTTCTAGCAAAACAAACAGCAAGCAATTTGATATAGGTTATATATATGCAGTAATGTAAAACATTTCCATATTAGTCATATTGTGAAAGAAGAAATAGACCAAGAAGAAAAAGAAAACACAAAAAAGTGAAGAAAGTGGAAATAGTATGCTTTGATCTGCATTCAGACTCCATCAGATCTTTCTCTAGATATGCATAGCATTGTTCATTGTGAGTTATTTGGAATTGTCTTGGATCATTGTATTGCTTAGAATAGCTAAGTCATTCATGGTTGATACTCACACTGTTGTTGTGTACAGTGTTCTGGTTTTGCTCATTTCATTTTCATCAGTTCATGTAAGTCTTTTCAAGTTTTTCTGAGAACATCCTACTTGTCATTTCTTACAAGACAATAGTATTTCATTACATTCATGTACCACAACTGGTTCAGCCATTCCCCATTTGATGGGTGTCCCTTTAATTTCCACTTCTTTGGCACCACAAAAAGAGCTGCTATAAGTATTTTTGTGCAGGTAGATCCTTCTTCCCCTCCCCCCCTTTAAAAAAAATTTCTTTGGAATACAGACCTAGTAAGTGATATTGCAGGAGCAAAAGAAAGAGTATGCTCAGTTTGTTTGCCCTTTGAGCATAGTTCCAAATGGCTCTTCAGAATGGTTGGATCAGTTCACAACTACACTAATTAGTATTAGTATCCCAATTTTCCCACATCACCTCCAACATTTATCATTTTACTTTTCTGTCATGTTAGCTAATCTAATAGGTGTGAGGTGGTACCTCAGGATGGTTTTAGTTTGCATTTCTCTAATCAAAAGTGATTTGGAGCATTTTTTCATATGACTACAAGTAGTTTTGATTTCTTCATCTGAAAACTGCCTGTTCATTTCTTTTGACCATTTATCAATTGGTGAATGACTTGTATTCTTATAAATTTGACTCGGTTCTTTATGTTTTTGAGAAATGATGCCTTTATCAGAGAAACTTCCTGTAAAAATTGTTTCCTACCTTTCTGCTTTCCTTCTAATCCTGGTTGCATTGGTTTTGTTTGTGCAAAACTTTTAAATTTAATATAGTTAAAATTATCCATTTTACATCTCATAATGCTCTTTATCTGTTGGTTTGGTCATAAATTCTTCCCTTCTCCATAGATCTGACAGATATACTGTTCCTTGTTGTCCTAATTTGCTTATGGTATCACCCTTTATGTCTAAATTATTTTGACCTTATTTTGACCCATTTTGACCTTATCTTGGCATACAGAGTAATTTATTTGTCTGTAGTTTCTGCCATACTCTTTTCCAGTTTTCCCAGCAGTTTTTGTCAAGTAGTGAGTTCTTGTCTCATAAACTGGGGTCATAGTATTTCTTAGGCACATCAGCAGACAGTCTGAAAGTGTAATGTTTTTGTACATTCTGTGAACTAAGAATGGTTTTTACCTTCTTAAGTAAAAGTTGTATCGTATTTTTAAATGTACAGAAGCAGGGCTCTGGCCAGATTTGGGCCGGCCACAGGCCAGCTGTGATTTGGTAACCCTTGCTTTATGTCTTTGCCTTCAGCAGTGGGATCTCTAAGTTAAATTATAACTACACTACTATCCTTATAGGGGCTTCATTGAGAAGAGTGTCATGGTCTTGATTAGGATATTTTAGTATTTTCTTTAAAAAGTTTCAACCTATTTGCAAACTTGTTTGTGTACCTTTTTTTTTTTTTGCAGTTGGGGTTAAGTGGTTTGCACAGGGTCACACAGCTAGTGAGTGTCAAGTGTTTGATCTGAGATGGTATTTGAACTCAGGTCCTCCTGACTTGAGGGTTGATGCTCTATCCACTGCGACACCTCGCTGCCCCTGTTTGTGTACTTTTTAGAGGAATTTTCACTGTGATTGAAGCAGCTTTTATGAAGCTGAGCTCTGTGCTAGGTACTGAGAATACAAAGACAAAACCCAACAAAGCAGTCTCTTGCAAGAAGTTTATATGATGTTCCAGCCATTCAAGAATAATAGGAGTAAAAGGTGTTTTAATGCCAATTTTGAAGTCAATTAAACATATTAGTAAAAATTTCAGTGAATTATTTTATTGCTTAGACTATAAACTAATGATCTGGAACTTTTTTTGCTTATAGATGCAGAAATTCAAGGTGTACATGATACTTCCTTGCTCTTGCTGAACTCATAAGATTACATTCATGTAATTGTTTACTTTTGATCCTCAAATTGTGTTAAACAATTCTTTTGTTTTTGTATTTCTTGAGATGCTACCTATGATTACAGTGATTTTGTATTCCTTTTCTTTAAGGAAATTGGGATTGCTGAGAGGAAAGCATGCATACAGTCATAGAAAATGCAATCCTGCCTCAAATTCTAGGCAAGTCACTTAATGTCTGTGCTGTATTTTCCTCGTATGCAAAATAAGGATATTTGCATTACCTACTTCACTGGGTTGCTTAAAGAAAAGTATTGTAAGCATTCATTAAACAAGAATTATTAGTAGAAACTGGAAATATAAAGAGTTGCTTCTGCTTCTAGTTTAATACTAAAAGGCCCTTTGGATTTGTGGGAAAAAACAGTTATCCACTTGTTTGGCATAGGGCTGTCAGAAACAAATTTGTTATCTGAATCCAAGGTTTTCTGCTTAGTGCAGGGATTCTAACCCCCCCCTTTTTTTGTGTGTCATAGATCCCTTTATAAGGCTGGTGAAACCTGTGGACCCCTTCTCAGAATAATTTGAATAAAGTACAAAGAATTACAAGGATTATATTGGTTCCATGCCTGGAATTCTTTTCCTTTTTCTCCTCTTTGCTTCTGCTTCCTGGATTCTTGTGTTTCCTTCAAATCTCAACTAAAATCCCATCTTCTGCAAAAGCTTTTCTGGGTTCCCCCTTAAAGCTAGTTAGTGTCTTCTCTGTGTGATTATCTTCAATTTATATTTGTTCTCTCTCTTTCTCATAACATAGCTTTTTGCATGTCTTCTCCCCCATTAGATTGTTCTCTCCTTGAGGGTAGGGACATGTTTTTCCCTTCCTTTGTATCTCCAGCACTTTGCACAGATGGCTGGAACATAGTAGGCACTTAATAAATTCATATTGACTTGGCTTTTGAAATGTAGTTATCAAAATACTTTAAAAAAAAGTTCATGGACCCCAGGTTAAGAATCCCCTAGCTTAGAGAAAATCCAAAGTGCAGGATTTTCCTGGTTTACTGAAAATCCCTCTGTCCCCAAAGGATCAAATAAAATGTAAAGTGCCCAGCACATAGTAGGCCCTTAATGAATGCTTGTTTTCTTCCCCTTGGTAATATTCAAGAAACAAGAAGGAAGATAAGAATAATTACAAATGTCAATATTAGGGTTTTTAACAATTAAAAAATATTAATCTTTGGAGATATACCCTTGGGAATGATGTGCACCTGAAAATCAAGGTCAGGTGGTGGTCAGCCATATTGATTGCCGTGGAAGATGAAAATAAAAGCAATCCGATTTGGCTTTTAGATGATGGGTAAGAAAACAGTTTCAATAAAGAATTGACATTGGTGGTGAAAGCCATACCAAATGTTTAAGGAGTGGATGGGTGGTGAGGGAATGGGAGATTGCAGTCACTAAACATTATTAAGCACCTACTATGTGCCAGGCACTGCTAAGTGCAGGGGATACAAAGAAAAAGGTAACTTTCAGGTTTTTCAGTGAAAAAAGTTGTAGGGCTGGAAGGGCCCTCAGAAGCCATTTAAAGTCTAACCCCCTTCATTTTACAGAGGAGGAAACTGCCCAGGGAGATTAAGTGGCTTGCCCAAGGTTAGTTAAGTAGTAAACATCAGAGGTGAGATAGTTTAAATGATTTATTTCTGCCTATTTAGGTTTACTTTCTAAGCAAGGAGACTGGTAGAAGTTAATAGTATTGAAGTGGCAGCTATAGGAATTAAAATCCAGGGAAAGAGTACTGCTTCTAAAGGCAGTAAGGAAGACAATTTAATGGAACCACTCAACCTTTTTTTGCCTGGTTCCATATAAAACTTGAGTTATAATTCTCAAATTATAGATAATATAGATGAACATTCTTCATTCTATAGTGGCCTTAGGGATATCTGGGTCTGCTGTGAAAGTTCAGGGCCAGACTGAAGGAGGCTTGGATACTCAATTAAATTTAATATTTACAGGTTCACATTTAGAATTTGCCTGGGAACGATCCTATACTGGAGTTTATCTCCCAAAGATCTCTTAGTTTAATAAGTGTGGTGACTGAGGGGCCATGCTGAATTGTATAGATTTACTACAGACCAGAACTGATTTCTGTCTTTGTTTAGTCTTGTAGCAGAAGAAATCTTTGCCAGTTTGCCAGTTGCCACCTATGTTAACTTTAGAAGTTACTTAACTTCTCTGGGCCTCAGTTTCTTCATTTTGTAGATAAGGGGATTTGACTAGGTATTCTGTAAGGTCCTTTCAAGTTTAAGTCCTACACTATAGCGCTGTAACCATGCATCAGCCCTGGCCTTTTTTTTAGGGAAGATGAGGGAGTTAAGTGGGCAAGCCCAGGATTCTAGATCCTACTTTGTGAGCTCCATATGGGGAGCAGAGTTGTTCTTCCCCCTCATCCTGCTCCCCATGTAACGGTGTTTTTAAAAAAAAAAAATCCAGGGCACTCCTTTATGTTAAACTCTTAAAAATGACATGCTGAAAATTCTGTTAAAGTAGGTGCTGACAATACAGACCATCCAATGAGCAATAAGAAAAAAAGCTCAATTACATGAAGTCTGTTGCTTTATTTTCTTCTGCCTCTGCCAACACTTCTGAGGGTGAAAAAAAGAAGCCCCTTTGTTCAACAAACCTTATTAGAAGACTGCTGCTATAAAAATTGGGACCTGTAAGTTAGAGACTTTATGAATTCTGATTTTTTGAATACCTTTTTAATGTTAATATTTTTATTGTAAGTGAAGGATAAAATGTGATGTTTTGTGGAAGGAACAGATAGTGAAACATCTCACTGAGCAAAGGTTTTTTTTAAAAGTTTATGCAAAATGCCTTCTGTTTTTAATGTGGTGATAGATTATACAGAGAGATTATTTTGTGGACTGTGAACATGCCTGAAAAGAAGCTTGATATGATTTTAAGCCATTTTCTTGTTATTACTTTAATGTTTCATGTTTTAAGGGTACTGATTTTATACCAAGTTAGGGATGAATCATTTAGCACAGCCTAATATTTTGTTATAGTCAAGTTTTTATCCAGTATGTTGTATAATACTTAAAAGTTGAAAAATTCTTCACTGTTTTGTAATTGACTTTGAAAATGTCATTTAAATACTTTTAGAAGTTCACATTTAAAACAGTTTCTTAAGTGATCTAGTCCTTCCTGGAAAATATGCTTGCTAAGACCTTGTGGTGTAGTGGAGTTAGAATGTGGAGTTAGAAGACCTAAGTTCAATTTCTGACTTCCACTTTGAATGACTTTGACAAGTCATTTAACCTTACTGAGTCCCCAGGTAAAGCACTTTTTAACTTTAAAACATTCTATTAAATGTCAGCTATTACAAATAAAATCCCCTTTCTAGAAAAAAGAGGGTGAAGAATTGTCTGGAAAGTTGAAGCAATGTATAAAATCAACTTTTAATGTACCATATAACATTGTGATTTATTGTCATCATATATGAAGTCAGCAGGAATGTTTGTAAAGTCTGCTTGTAAAAAGTGTATTTTTTTTCCCCCACAGTGACTTATTGTATCCTTAGTCTTTTATTTAGATGGAACCAAAATTTTTCAAACTGACTTGGCTGAAAAATACTTTTGATTATAAACTTACAAATACGTTTGGTCTTTGGGGGCATGGAATGCCTTCAGTATAAGTGGGACCCAGGGAAATTTTGAGCAAATAAAAGAAATTCAGCCTATTTTAATATTTAGTAATTGCTCCAAACAGTAAGTGTGATTGACTACTGGGACTCAAGGAGATACAGCCCAAAGTGCTATGTAGGCTTATAGATCTGAGAATGACAATTCTGATAAAGATTATTCTTGACTCCGCAGTAATCAGTTGGGCTAAGAGAAGGATTTAATGCTACACATTCCTCTTTTCTGTAGATATCAAGATCAGGTACTGCTTTTGTTACGCAGACATATGATTTTTAAAGCTTATAAGCTTCTCTTTGAAGCCCTTTCCATAAATTCTGCTGTGTGAGAAAATTTTTCTTATTCAGTAATCGTTTTCTTACATCTGTCTTTTTCCCCTGGGACCCTCCCAACCACAACCTTTAGGTTCAGAACTTTCAATTCATCATTTATTATGGACCTACTCTGTAAGATCTTTAGATGTAAATCTGGGAAAGAGATGAAATCTTTTCCTTAAGGAGTCAATATAATAGGAGAATAAGGTATCTACATAGAAAACTATAATACAGGTTAAAGCATAAGTGGCTGGAAGAGGTAAAATAAAGGTTAGGAGAAGGGGAATGATCACTTTTTGCTGGGGGTGAGGCATGGGTGAGAGGAGAGGAGTTCATGGAAGTGGGTGGCAGCTGAGGTAATTTTTAAAGATAGAGAAAAATTTCAAAAAAGGCAGATGGTAGTGGGGAGTAGTACATTGTAGCTGGGGGGGGCTACTGTTAAATATAGAAGTAGGAAAGTTGGCAGTATGGGATGAGGTAATGGCAACTTGGACCATTTTTCTACTTAAATAGCTGGATTGATCATTTATAAAACATAACTATTAAGCTGAAACAGTATATTAGTTCAACAAACCCATATTCTTTTTGAAGTGAGTATTCCTTTCATTGGTACAGATTGCAACTCATGCATGCCTTTTCATCCTGTGAAACTTGTCCCTATCCTTCCATAAATCTTTCACAGGGGTTTTGAAGAATTTGCTAGAAGCCTTTTGACTCTTCATATTACATGGATGCCATTGCAACATACAGCCATTCTATCATTTATCCCTTGCTTTCATTATATGACTAGTCCACCACCTTTTCCAGTAATCCATCTTTTGCACCTTTTCATGTTCATAGTTTACAATATGGTATAGCTTATTTATGCCAGCCCTGGGTCTCTTGTTTTTTGGGTGATCTACAATTTTAATTCCATGGAGGTAGTAGTATTTCATGATTCATAGCCAAAATTAGCAGAAGTCACATATTCAAATGTATAATCTCCTTATTGTGTATGTTTTTTAGATCACATTCCATCTGTGTGTGCTCATCCTTTGTAACTCTTG